GTGCAGAAATCATTGTTTGTACACCAGGACGTATGATTGACCTATTGTGTGCTAACTCTGGACGTGTTACTAATTTAAGAAGAGTTACTTACCTTGTGTTAGATGAAGCTGATCGTATGTTCTTCATCTTCAACTTCTTCTTCTGATGTATCATCATCAACATCTCCATATGTCTAAAAAAAATTTTAATTATTATTATCATCATTATCTATATAGTTCCATTTAATATATATATATAAGCTTGAAATATAGATTGTAAATATGAATGAACAAATAATACCTTTCTTTGTGCCTTTTTAACTAAATCTCTTGCCTCGTCTAATTTTTCAAGTCCTTTGCCACCAAAGCCTGAACCTGAATAGGTAGCGTTACCAGCCTTAACTTTTTCTTGAAAACCTATAAATTTTTTTTTGATATTTCCATTAATTTTTTATACATATAAAAAAAAATTTTTTTAATCAATAAACCGAAAAAAAATTTGAAACAAATATTTACCGTCAGACTGTATTGTTTTCTGCGACGTTTCCTCGACAGGTAAATTAAAATCTCTATTTCCCCATGAAAAATTATTTTTATATAATAGTCATCCTCTCTTTATATTTTCTTTAAAGATGGAATCATTAGCAAGAAAAGTTCTTAAGAGGCCTCTTGAAATTACTGTAGGTGGTCGTAGTGTTGTAGCTCAAGATGTGACTCAAATTGTTGAAGTTCGTGAAGAAAATACAAAATTTGTTCGTTTATTGGAAATTTTAGGTCAACAATACAATGATGATCCTGAAGCTAGAACCCTTATCTTTGTCGATCGACAAGAAGCTGCCGATAATCTATTACGTGATTTGATTCATAAAGGGTATCCTTGTATGTCTTTGCATGGTGGCAAGGTACTAATTATATCTGATAATTTTTATTAAATATTTTGTATTTTAACATCAACAAAAACAAAAATAAATAAATTATTATTAATTTTAATTAGGACCAATTGGATCGTGATAGTACCATTGCTGATTTTAAATCAGGAGTCTGTCAAATATTGGTTGCAACTTCTGTTGCGGCTCGTGGTCTTGACGTAAAACAATTGAAACTTGTTACTAATTATGAATGCCCTAATCACATGGAAGATTATGTACATCGTGTTGGTAGAACTGGACGTGCAGGTAATAAAGGTACGGCATATACTTTTATTACACCTGAACAGGATAGATATGCTATGGATATTGTTAAAGCATTAAAATTAAGTGGTGGTCACGTAAGTCTTGAGTT